GCAGTCGCTTAACCAACTGAGCCACCCAGGTGCCCGAGAAAGAAGTTTTATTTATCAGTGAATCTTTAGCTCTGCCTCCAGAGCCTGGCATAGGGTAGATAGATGAAAGAATGAATAAATGAATGAATTTTCTTCCATCAGTGAAAGACACTGTGATTTTGTGAAATTTTAAACATAAATAGTTAAGGAGTGCATACTATTTGGTTTCTATCTTCATTATTTCACTGAAATTGTCAAAGTCGCCAACAACCTCTAATGTAGCCAAATTCTATGGACAGTTCTCTAGTCTTATCTTATGTGTCTCCTCATCATTCAACATGATTTGTTCTTCCTCTTGGCTTTCAGAACATTGCATACTCCTGGTTTTCTGTCATTGGATACTTCTTTAAAAAAAACTTTTAAATTTAATTTTATTTATTTCAGCCTTATTGGGTATAATTGACGAATAGAAATTTTATATATTTAAGGTATGAAACTTGATTTTTTTTAAAGATTTTATTTATTTATTTGAGAGAGAGAGAATGAGAGACAGAGAGCATGAGAAGGAGGAGGGTCAGAGGGAGAAGCAGACTCCCCGCTGAGCAGGGAACCTGATGCGGGACTTGATCCCCGGGACTCCAGGATCATGACCTGAGCTGAAAGCAGTCGCTTAACCAACTGAGCCACCCAGGTGCCCCAATGTTTTGATATATGTATATAGTAGTCTCCCCTTTTCCATGGGGAATATCGTCCAAGAACCCCAGTGGACGCCTGACACTATAAATAGTATATATATACTATGTTTTCCTATACATACATACCTATGATAAAGTTTAATTTATAAATTAAACACAGTAAGAGATTAACAATAATTAACAATAAAATAGAACAATTATAACAATAGATTCTAATAAAAGTTATGTGAATGTGGTCTCTCTCTCAAAATATCTTGTACCATACCCTTCTCATGATGATGTGAGATGATAAGATGCCTATGTGATGAGATGAAGTGAGGTGAATGATGGAGGCAATGTGATGTAGCGTTAGGCTACCACTGACAGTCTAATGGGTGGGGGGTGGGTGGAGAGGGGTGAAGGGATGGGGAGGGTGCTAGTCTACATTGTGAAATAATCACCACAATCAAGCTAGTTAACATACCCAGTACCTTATATTGTTACTTTTGTGTGTGTGTTGAGATTGCCTAAGACCTATGCTTTTAGCAAATTTCAAGTACACAAGTAATGTTAACTGTGGTCACCATGCTGTACATTAGATCTCCAGAACTTATTCATCTTGTATAGCTGAAACTTTGTACCCCTTGACCAACGTCTCCCCATTTCCCCCACTCCTAACCCCTGGCAATCACCATTCTACTCTGTGCTTCTGTAAGTTCAATAATTTTAGAATCCACAGATACTTCTTTTGAATCTTCTTTGCTGGATCCTCTTTTTCTCTTTGGCCTCTAGATCTTGGTTAGCCTCTAAATCCTAGACTGTCATAAGATTGTAATCTAGGGCTCATTGTCTTCTTTCTTCACATTTTTCTCCCAGGTGATCTTATCTAGTTCATGACTTTAATAATGACCTATTTAATGCTTTTTAATTTTTATCTCTGATGACTTTTTAAAGATCAGATTTATATTCTACTGTTTGCTTGGTGACTCCATTAGAATGATAAATATCTCAAATGTAGCTTCGATAAAATGAAATTATTGATTTCCTACCTTCTTCCCATCTCACATATTCCTCTCAGTCTTCCCCAACTCAGTATTTGGCTTTACTGTTTATTAAGCCAAACCTCTTAGTAGGGGCTTTGATTTCATTCTAATTTACCTCCCCACATTCATAGTTTCATCTATAACAGTGCTTTGCACAGAGTAACCATCAAAAAATATTCATTAAGACCTCTCGGCGTGGTGGCCCAGGCGACTCAGGCCTAGCTTAGGTTGGAGCGTGGTTAGTTTTGAGGCAGTCCAGATGGGGACGCTACCAGAACGAAAAGATATTCCACCGTGGGTGAAAGCTCCCGAAGACTTGAAAGATCCCGAGGTGTTGCAGGTCCAGACGCAGCTCTTGGAAGCTATGTTTGGCCCAGCTGGATCTCGAATCCCGTACATCGAGCAAGTGAGCAAAGTCATGCTTGAGCTAAAGGTTCTGGAATCCTCGGAGCTCACGGAGATCGTGGTTTATGGCTCTTATTTGTATAAGCTCAGGGCCAAGTGGATGCTCCAGTCCATGGCCGAATGGCACCGCCAGCGACAGGAACGAGGGATGCTCAAACTTGAGGATGCCATGAAAGCCCTAGAGCTAGGTCCTTGGATGAAGTGAAGCCAGTTTGCAACCAACGTATCTGGATCAGGATTTAAAGAGTAAACTGTCTCCAGAGTTGGAATGGATGTGGTCTGGTTGAAATTCTGCTCCGGCCTGACAAGGAAAAACCAGCTGATTTTTGGGTCTCCGCCTTTGTCTCTGAGTCCTAATGTGGCTCCCCCCTGCCAGGTTTGCTAATTAAAATAAAATTTTAAATAAAAAAAATCATTAAATGAATATTTTATAATTTAATACATGGTAAAATGCATACCTAGTTCCAAACAATTCATAAATGGACTTTGGGAAAATAATGTCGCTGATAGTTTTTGGCCTTTTGGTTGTAGCCATGGCTTATTTATTTATATAGGTTTTTCCTTATTGATGTTTCATTCCTTGTCATGTTAGTCTTTCCACTTATCCTGTTGAGTGCCTATTTTCCAAGGAATGCTGGTTTCTTCCGCTGGAGAATGGAATTAGAAATTAAGATTTGGGTACTAGGTGTATTCACTGCTAGTGCAATATTGTTATTTCTAGGCCCTCTTAGGTGAAAAAGCAAGGAAATATGTATGTATATACTAACCATTTTATATACACGTATCTGTAAGTATTTCTATGTGTAACCATGTGATCTATATTAAATTAAACAAGAGTACATACTGATGTCTCCAACTCCAGTCCATCATTTTAGCTTTCTCCCCTTGCTTATCTGTACTTCCGTCTCCTACAATGAAAAACATGGCTTCCACCACCCACCATACATTTACTCACTTGTTCAATGCCAGTATGCATGTATAGCAGGATCAGAATTCTTAACCCATACCCCTGTGGAAAACAACTTTATCAACTAGAGTACAGTGTTTATGTATATTTCCTTTTGTCTTTAGGTTTACAGACTCCATTCATTTCCAAAGTTAGGTCAATAATATCTCTCCCCTTCAGTAAGATTGTTTTGTACATTTTATTTTTTAATTTCAAGTTTTCATTTAAATTCTAGTTAGTTAACATATATGGTAGTATAGTTGTAGAATTTATTGATTCATCACTTACCTATAACACCCAGTGCTCATCACAAGTGCTCTCCTTAATACCCATCACCCATTTAGCCCATTCCCCTGCCTCCCTCAACACTTAGTTTGTTCTCTGTAGTTAAGAGTCTCTTATGGTTTGCTTCTGTCTCTCTCTCTTTTTTCTCCTTCCCCTATGTTCATCTGTTTTGCTTCTTAAATTCCACATATGAGTGAAATCATATGGTATTTGTCTTTCTCTGACTGACTTATTTTGCTTAGCATAATACACTCTAGCCCCATCCACGTTGTTGCAAGTGTTTTGCACATTTTTAATACCTGGGATCCTTTGACCTCCTAAATGATTTAATTTTTAAAAAATTTTGCATTTATTCAGGTTGATTTTTTTTATGCAATAAAATTCAATGGGTTTTGACAAATGCATATCATGCATCTACCAAAAAGTATCACACAAAATAGTTTTATTGCCCTAAAAGTCTTCTGTGTTTCACTTATTGAACCCTGTCCCCATCCCCCTGAGCCCCTAGCAGCCACTTATATTTTTACTGTCTCTATAGTTTTGCCTTTTACAGAATGTAAATAATTGAATACATAATTGAATTATGCAGTATGCAGCTTTTTCAGACTGCCGTCTTTCACTTAGTGTCATGCATTTAATGTTCACCCATGATTTTGTGGTTTGAGAGCTCATTTAAAAAAACCATGGGATAGTATTTTATTATATTGATGTACCACGGTTCATTCATCCATATATTAAAGACATCTTGGTTGCTTCCAGTTTTTAGAGGTTATGAGTAAGCTGCTAAAACATTCATTCAAAACATGCAGATTTCTGTGTGGACATGTTTTCAAATCAGTTGGGCAACAGGGAGATAGAGACCAACTTCCGGGCCAGGCCGGGACTCCTATCTTCAGGTAGTACGCAGACCGCATGGCAAGGAGTCCAGCTGATCAGGATGATCACAGACGTGCAGCTTGCCCTCTTCGCCAACATGCTGGGCGTGTCGCTCTGACTACGTGGTGAAATTATTGTGGGAAGAATCAACAATCCCAAGAAGCAGGAATGAAAGTGGCGTTTTCTCCACCCCAGGGTTCCAGGACATAGTCTGAGGCAAGATGGAGGGTACGAGGGGCCTTCACACTTCATTTCATCCCTCTACCCATCACAACATACAAAGCAACTACACCTGGATTTTTGCCACTGAGTAGGGCCTAGTATAGGGGTTTCTTTTCTACTCCCTCCCTCCAATATAAAAATATAGATATATTTTTTGTGGTAAAAAAACCAAACCAAACCAAACAAAACAACAACAACAACAACAAAAAAAACAACAGGGAGACAGAGAGCCAGGAAGAAAGATTTCCAGCCCAGCAGTTACCTTTTAGACAGAAAAACCCAATTTATCTTGCCTGGGAACTCAGGCCAGCTTCAGAGAGTATACTTAGAATTTCAAGAATAAAAATCAGTCTCTACTGTGCTTCAAGGACCATCGTCTGGAGCCCTGGGTCAAAACTGAGTGAGACTCACCAGTGGATCCCTGATCAGTCAGCCAGGAAGGAAGACAAGGCCTCAAAGGTGCTCACTTGGGTCCTGAATGATAGATCAATCGGATCTGAGTGATGGCATTATAACTGCTAAAGAAAAAAATTATTTATGATACTTGTAAAAGATGGTAAGGAAGATTTTATTCAGGGGGAGGTAATATAATGGGGTTTTGTAGTAGGGGAGAGAGATTGGGCTCAAATATGAATATGACAAGGAAAAGTAGGGATTTATGGCCAAGAAGCAGGGTGGGTGGGGGGGCGGTAGGTACTAAGAGATAGGGTAATTCTTTGCTAAATTGACCTAACAGGATTTTGGCTGAGGGCAGGCCAGGATGCTAAGATATGCAGGGTGGGGAATGATAAATTTGATCAGATATCAAGGGTGATTGGCCAAGGTGGGGTATTTTCATTTACGTGACTCAGTGGGATTCTTACTAAAACTGGAGTAAGTGGGCCAAGGACAAGAGCCCAGGATCAAGGCTTAGTCAGAAAGATGATCAGAGGAGCCTGAGTTTGGTCAAGGTGAGAGTCTTTGTCACTTAATAAATAACTGACTGAATGAAGGAAAGAACAAACAAATAAATATTTATATATTTGTGTATATAGACACATATACACACGCACATAGGTTGATGATGGAGGTTGGCCCAGGATATAATGAAACACAGAAGCAGTAGATTAAGTCTGCCCAAAGGAGTCAGGACCAACTTCAGAGAGGAAGTGGTGGAATCTTGGGCTGATTCTTGAAGGAGGAGAAAGTGTTTGTCCTAGTATGGGAAGGAATGATGCACTTTAGACTGGAGGAGCGAGCACTTGATTGAATGGAGTGGGGTTAGAGGTGTGGTGTGGAGATATCATGCTGGGAAGTGAGTTTGGGTAGGTTAGGAGATGGTGCTTATGCCTAAAAGAGACTGGAAAGCCTGCAAGTGAGTTCACTCTGTGTTTTGTGGATGGAGGACAAGGGAGCCTGGGTGCTAAAAGTGTGACTCAGGGATAAACACCATCTCCATCACCTGGGAATTTGTCAGATACATAAACTCTTGGGCCCCACTCCAGACCTACTGAATCAGAATCTGCACTTCAACAAGATCTCAGGGGATTCTTAAACACCTCAAAGTTTGAGAAGTACTTCTATAAGAGTTCTGTGCAGGGATTACTGTGGCCAGATTTGCATTTTGAGTCTTTTATCTGTGACAATTAAATTTTTCCAGTGAAAAATCATCCAGTTCCTTGGCCAGCGGGAGGGGGAGATATACCTGGTAGCCAGTATTTTGGGAGCAAATAGAGGATGACCTGTGTGTCCTAAATTCAATATTTAGTCTTTAATTTAATCTCTCTGCTTTTAGGATCATGCCTCATCCCTGCCATTTGCATTATTTTGTACAATCTTGACCCTCTCCTGAGAATAAATAAACTTCTGGTTTCTTGAATGAGGTGAGTGTGGATATTGTTTGTTGGGGGAAAGAATCTGAGAGTCCAGTTGTTCTGTTTATCATTCTCCTTACCCTCAGCCTCACACCTCATAGTCTGTGGTGCTTCCACATACAGAAGGATAAATCGGTTTATTTCTCAAATGTACCAGACTCCAGGTTTGTACCTTACTCTGCTCTGTGGGCAAAGGTAATACTTCTCTATCCACTTTACTATCTTCTAAAATTCTCCAATATTCTCTCAAGCACTATTATTGTCTGTCTTTTCTGTACTTGAAGATTTATATTCCTTTAGTGACTATTTAGTTGAGCTTGAGAGAAAAAGAAGATTCTTCCATGTTTAACAGAAATTTTTTTTGAGATTATGGTCTAATCCCCCCCCCCCACTTTTTTGAAGTAACTTGACTTTAAACAAATCAACTATACATATAATAAAATATACCCATTTTGAGCATACTCTTTGATGAGTTTTTATTCTCAAACAAGATATATAACATTTCCATCAACTCATAAATTTCTTTCCTTTGACAGGCAGCTTCTGAAATGGCTTGTATGGATACCTATCTCCTAGTATTCTTTCCCTTGTATAATTCCCTTCCTTTGAAGGTGAGCTGCACCTACTGACTTGATTCTCATGAATAGAATATGGTAAATGTGATGAAATATTGCTTCTGAGATTAGGTTACAAAAGATTGTGAATTCCATCTTCCTGGCATTCTCTTGCTCTTTGCCCTCATGCTAGCTTTCTCTAACAAGCCACCTTCAATATTGTGAGCTTTCCTGTGAAGAGGCCAGGATGTCAAAGAACTGGGGGCAACCACTTATGAAGAATTGAGGCTCTCAATCCAACAACTGGCAAGGAACTGAATTCTGCCAATAACTACTTAAATGAGCTGAGAAGTAGATTCACTGCAAGTTGAGCCTTAGGAAGATTACAAACCCAGCTGGCATCCTGACTGCAACCTGTGAGACACCCAGAGCTAGAGGAACCAGTTATGTCATGCACAGATTTCTGACCCACAGAAACTGA